TTGCTTCTCCGCTGACAATAATGTAAATAAAAATCTGTAAATATCTCTTGATTTACTCAATAAACGATCTGTTGCCTGGTCCTTGTCTTCTGTCGTTACAATACGACCTCGTTTTTATTATCTTGTGGATTCCCTCTAATTGTATGTACATCCTAAACAAAATCAAATGATATGTTACACAATTTCTGAGCATACTTTTCTTCACAGTAGTATCGACTTATAGATAGAAAGTATAACCAACATAGTTTTCAAAAAATGATGTAAGCAGAGAAATTATTCAGTGTTAAAAAGTGACTGACTATTTATAGTATAATTAGACAAGAAGGTGGTAGAGTTCAGATTCCGCTTGAAAACAAGAATTGATTAGAGACAAAATACAAGATCGAACAACCGAATGAATTTGTGCATATTATGATGGAGAGTTGAAGAAGAATGGGGTGAATAGTACCGTAAAATTTTGAAATTATGAAAAATATTGAGTAAATTTGGAAGCTTAATAGTAAATGAACGAAATTTTCACAAGTTGTACAATCGTAATCATATTTAACAAGGAAACCATTAGACAAATCAGATACTGGTGAAATTTATCACCGAAGATGTATTACGTAATGTGAGGTGTAACCTAGACGGGGTGACTAATTCGAAATTAGTAAAGAGGCAGAAGTTGGCATGACGTAGTAATTGTGAGAAAATGAACAATCAGTATAATTGTGTAGAGTCGACAGAAACTAATAAATTATTTTTATATAAAATCTGTATGAAAACGCAATGTTATTATCACTCTATTACTGTTTATTATTCACATTGCATTTCCATACAGATTTTATATAAAAACACTTTATCGTCTTTCCACTAGGTTCCTGTCCATTCTACACAATCTTAATGATTAGTCATTATCTCACACTTATTACATCATGCCAATTTCTGTCCCCTTTTCTAATTTCTGACCAGTCACCCCCTTGTAGGTTACACACTGCGTTACGTAATTCCTTTTCGAGGACAAAGTTTACTAGTATCTGATTGGTTTTATGAATTTTACGTTAAATATAATTACGATTGTACAGCTTATGAAAATGAATCGTCGAAAAGAAAATTTTCTTCGCTGTTTACCTCTTCTTCTTATGACTTAATAGTGACTTCAACCCAGTAAGTAAAATTCAAAATTGAGTAGAATGTGTTACATAACAGAACAAAACAATTACAGTTACCAGATAATCGTTGGGAAACACGAACTTCGAAAAAAACAAACAGTAGGTTTCAACTACCACTATTCAGAAGATGACTGTGAAAGACAGACAACCAGATAATACACTAGAAAAAGACATCATACTCTGGCATCCTCCTGGATGACTTGTGTTTGATGCTTAAAAATCTGTAGTCAATTTCTATCGTTACGAAGCCTGGAGCTAAAGTTATCAACTGTGAAACCGGTGTTTTTCCACAATTCTTCTCAACTGGAATTATTTCGCATACCAAGTGTGCGGACTATTCTTAGAGGTGGTATGATTAATCACGAATTCCCTTGGTTACTGTCTTCACAAATATGTATATCGAAGGGTGAAACTCCTCCTGTTCATCTGAAATCAAATCTGTATATAAAGATCCCAACTTAAATGCAGTCTGTGTTGTTTTTACGGCATGGGGCTGCTAACCTTATGCCCAACCTTCTCTCTTTTGCGGGCTTACTAACCGGTTAGGTTTGATGTGGGAGTACTTTGACTGGGGATTGAATCAGTACTAGATGATCGCATCACAGTACCTGTTCATAACAGAAAACAAAGTGGCTGTTGGCTGTGTTAACCTTGGAAATCTGACTGAAATCAGTGATTCTGTAGCTGAAGAATTCTTGTCATGGATCCAAAACGTTTGTATGACTTTTCTAACCTAACGCCTTTGGTGTATATGAGACATATGAATGTATGTTGAAAATCAAGTGTAATGAGCAGATTTATTGCTTTGGTACTCATTCTTTCTTGGTAATAATAATAATGATAAGGTCGGATGTAAATCAAGTATCATATTTTAAAAAATACCTGTTATTTCAAACCTTAAATCTGCGGATTAAAAACCATTTTACCTTTTTTCTTAACGTTTAATACGTATATATTTTAGCATTTATGCTATTGGTGATTGTATACCTGGTCCAATGTTAGCGCACAAAGCTGAAGATGAGGGAATAATTTGTGTTGAAGGAATGCTTGGTGGTGCTGTACACATAGACTACAATTGTGTTCCTAGTGTTATTTACACGCATCCTGAATGTGCTTGGGTTGGTAAAAATGAAGAACAATTGAAAGCGGAGAACATACCTTACAAGTGAGTGTATTATTATCACTATAACTAGTATTATTATTATTCCCTTGAGTTTCGAGTGAAACATGGGGCTTCAACAGCACAACTCCACTTTGTTCTGCTCTCTCTGCAGTCCTCTCTAGTTGGCCCCATGACTACTGCCCGTAGTCTCCCATGTCCTCCTCGCACGAACGCGCCTCCATGTCACCCTCGGATTCACGCTCAACTGGTCGTTTCCTATTTGGGTTCTACTCTAGCGGCGACCTGACTTGCGACGTCAGTGCCTAATAATTCATCTCTTATTGACTTCGGTGATCTATTCATTTTGTATAATACTTGTACTATAATTCCACTTATGCATATACTTTCCAACTTGAATTCTTGTCTTTTCTCCGCCTTTGCCAGGGTTGGTAAATTTCCAATGTCTGCAAATTCACGAGCTAAAACAAATGATGAACCTGAAGGACTTTTCAAAGCTTTAGCACATAAAGATACAGATAGGCTTCTAGGAGTACATTTACTTGGTCCATGTGCAGGTGAATTAATCAATGAAGCTGTATTAGCTATGGAGTATGGAGCTTCAGCAGAAGATGTTGCACGTGTCTGTCATGCTCATCCGGTTAGTATAGTTTTATTCGCTGCTTTTTTTTCTTTTTTAACTGTTATTCGAATAATTCTCATTTGTTTTAAATTCACATACATTCATCCACTTTTATTAGGAGTAATTAAGGCTGTACTATTTCCTTTCAAGGCGAATGTCTTTTTGACAACAATTTCACCAATGCGTGCTTCGTAGATTAAGGAAAGCTGTACGATTCAGATCGTGTTTTAATCTCGACCGTGTGTGCTTATGGAAGTGTGTAGACGGTTATTACTTCCTTGTCACCCACAAGATGGAAGCTGGTTTCTTCTTGAGGTACCTAGAAGACAGCTGAGGGAAAAACTACTATTTGAGTACTACTATTTGGTTATTAGAGTTGTGTGTGTATTAAGACTTTACCACTGCATGTTAAGTCTGGTTGTGTACAAATTCGGGCTTGACCTTTATTTAACCCCCCCCCCTCCTCTCTAGAGCGGAGTGCCAGTATAGTTGGCTTGCAGATATCTACATGTCGTACATTGAAAGCTTATCGGAAGAAGATTTAATCGAAAATGTATCTCTTTATAGAAGATATGTTAATGACATCGTATCCATAAATAATAGGCCTTGTTCTGCCACTACAATTTTAAATCGAATGAATGAAGTTCAAAATAGCATATCACTTACATCTGTAGAAGAGGAAAATAATTGTTTATCTTTCCTAGATATATTACTTAGTCGACGGCCTGATGGATCAATAAAATGATCTATTTATAGAAAACCTACCTAGATATGACAGTATCTTGATTACCACGGCTTCTGTCCTGTTCGTTACAAAATATGCTTAGTGAGGTGCCTTTTTAGTAAAATCCAACTGATATGCTCTGAAGACACACTCGATGGAGAAGGAAGAAACTTGACACAAACTCTGGTTGTTAAGATCTATCCAGAGAAGTTGATAAGGAGACATAAAGTAGTCAGAACACCAAGACCCACTCTTCAACTTGCCTCTAAGAAGGCTGTGTATATCGAGCTACCCTAAATGGGTGATTATAGCAGCTTGATAACCCGACAAAGATTGAACGCTGCTGTTAAAAAGACTTATTATGCAGCTAATATCATAATAGTTAAGAATGTGAAACCAATATATCCATCTAAGCCCTTTGAACATGCGAAAAATGATGTCACATCCCACTGTATCTGCCAATTTAAATATACGTGCGGTCACACACACATACATAGGGAGAACTCATCTATCTTTGCATGTAAGAGCTTCAGAGTATATTCCCTGAACCCATTAATGTTGAGAAGAGACCGCCTAGCTCTTTTATTGAGAAACATTGTAGAGAAAGGACTTTTTTTACACATCTTTTAAACCTATCTATATAAAACGCGTATCCTAAAGTTTTTGTAAGCCATAGAGATTAGAAAGTTTAAACCACCTTGTTGCGTTCAAAAACAATTTTTCATAATCACATTAAACCTTCCTTGGTAGATTTGGTTTCGATACTAGGATAGATGTATTATTACCTCACTTCTTTGGTTTATTTATCTCCGTTGTTATTTTGACCTTCAATGAAATAGTTTGATATAGTTTAACAGACCTTCTTAAGAATGGCGAATATGTCGTGACTGTAAAGTCTACCGGTTAGAATTCCTGGCTTTCACCCAAGTAATCCGGGTTTGACTCCCTGCTCGGGAGCGCCTGTGTATCAGTGGCATAGCGGTTAAGACGCTCGCCGGTCATGCATATGGTCCAGGGTTCGACCGTCGGCCGATGCACACCTGATATCAATGGGCGGCCTGCTAAATTTGGACTACCGATATCACATGCTGAAAATTCCATACTTGTACCAAAATACTGTGTGAAATCAATCTGTAATAAAATAAAAATCGTCGTGAGAATTTAGAATGCGTACCTCAGCCTTTCTCCTACAGGGTTCATTACTTGTATGGCTGAAATTTTTTCGCCAAGTTTTCGAAGTTAATTGGCGTCAGTGTAGTTGTAATCCTGCCATAATCTCATATGTGTGAGAGTTCTCTCATAAAATTTTTTCTATTTTCAATGTGTATATCAATTCCTCAAATGTTTTCTGATTTGTTTCCACTACTCTCTCTTTCTCTTTAGACTGTATCTGAAGCTCTTCGGGAAGCATGTCTCTCCGCCTATTGTGGTAAAGCTATCAATTTCTCATGAGGAGGAGACAATTCTCTCCAACCAACCTATATCGTATACTAACTGTCTGTCTTGTCTTACACACACATTGCTTAGAATGAAATGTTTCTACTCCTTCAGTTAAAATACACACACTAATTTAAGTGCGCGCATACATGCGCATACTCATTTAGAAATTATGTTGAATTTGCACCAAAATAATATATGCTGCCATTTTGAGGTGTAAGTGATTGAGTGAGTGAGTTGGTAAGTCAAGTAAGCCAGTTAAGCGCACTTCAATCCTTTCAGACAACTTTTTATTGTTTCGTTTTTCTTTTTCTCTGGAGAAAACCAAAAAGCAAACATTAGTTTACCCATTACTACTATTACTACTACTTAGGCGGTCTTTGAACACATGTATCTATGTATGTAAAGCAAGTTGTTTTTTAATACAGTAGTTATTCAGTAATAATAATAAAAATATTAATAGAAAAACTTATTTATTATATTTCAACTGGGAGAGAAACGGATGGTTTGTGGTAAGCTGAGATTTCAGGTGATTCCTGCTGTTGAAGAATAAGGAGATGCATCATTTAGATGTGTATTCAATTTGTGTTTGCTTATAGAAATCAGCTAGAAAAAACTACACGACACTGCCTTGAACTAAGAAGTTACTCAAAAACTGTAGAACTCTGAACTTTATTCTGTTGTAGTAACACGATATATGTGCGTCAGTTGAATTGTAAAATGTTCATCAGCCAGGAAGGGGAGATCTGAGTCCGATTCATAACTGATTCACACTACTCCTGTACCTCACCTAGTTTTGAAATCATGGAGAAGATTTGTAGATTTGAGACAACAAAATTCCATTCTTAGATGACCTAATCAAAAGAACTAACACAAGAAATATAGTAGGCTAGGAAAAGAGTGAAGGTCGGGCGTTGGGCTGGCAACACCACCGGTACTGAAATTCAAAGGCTTAAAGCCATAGGTTTCACTCAATACTCAAGGGATGAAAATGAATGACCTTGGCTACCCACCTTTACCTTTACAAAATGACGGCTATGACAGCAGTCAATTGGAGGAATACATTCAGGTTGCCTAGATAAATTCTTGGTTGAAGTTGGAATTCTCGGGTTAGCCATTGGATCGTATTCCAGTGGCTAAATGGTCTATGAGCTTACCTTGTATCTCTAAGGTCCTGGGCTCGAACCCAAGTAGTTGCGTACTCCCAATGAGTCCAGAACTTGTCTATCCAGTACTCCATACTGGTTTCCCAATGGTTCTCTACCTGATGTCAACTCTTAATTAAGTCTGCAGTGATATCTTGCATTCATCCTCCACTTAGACATCTTTGATACAGCCGACGAATTCAAATGTGTCCAGAAGAAAAGTACCTTAAAATTCGTTTTCTAACAGTCTGTAGGAGTTCTGACGCATCCATTTAACAGCTGGATGGCAAAGAGATCCAAGCATGTCCAAAATAGGTAATCCGTACAGTCCGGGTATATTGTTCAATCCGTTGGTAGAATGCTTGGGTGAACATCTTTGGAGGTTAAAAGAACTACTTAGGTCCACCTTGAACGTCCAATTCACTCACATCCATTGATGCTATTCACAGCAGGCAAGATAGTGTGGCTATGGGATCACCTTTAGGCCTGTACTTACAGTTATTTCCATTACGAGTTTGTAAAATGGTCCATTGAAATCTACTATCAACAGCTTTTTTCTGTACAAAATTAATACTTTGATTATAATCTTATCATTTGTGGAAATAAGGGACACCTAGAAGAACATAAAACCAAAGCCGAAAGGAGAATAATCTACTTCATTAACTAAGAAAACATTGTACTTTAATCGGGACTTCAGGGGAGACTTAGCTACAGATATCCTTAAGAGGAGAGTATCTAGTTCCTTATCGAAGACCTTTCCTGCAGCAACTCCAACAGTAACAATCTCTAGTCGCCTACCACTTCTAAATAATGTGAAAGACAAACTTCTACATTTGACAGACTCCACTGTGCATATATCAGTTCACCTGCTCTTGTGGAGCTAAGTACATAGGTCGTTAGATAACATTACCCAACGTGGTTGCAAAGGGGAGGTACTGGTTCAAACAGAAGTGCAATAATTGAACACTTGTCACAGCATCTCAACTGACTCGTCATTCACAGTCATTTGCAAAGTAGACAAAAATTTACGAAAAGCAGTGTGTTTCCGATTTCTTTGTACTGCAGAAATCCCTACCATGTGCACTGAAAAGCTGGAGCTATGTATTCAAAAGAATGGTTACTGAACCAAGAATATTCTTTTCGATAACTTCTCCTTCATCAGGTTCTACAGTTATATATATACATAATGCTGAGTTAATTAGTGTTATTAATAACATTAATGTTGTTTAAATAATATCGAATCAATAGATTACAGTTCAGTAGCATCAGCACAACAATACACTGAATATCAGAAAAAATAGGAATGAATTTATAGTCTCCACTGAAGGCCCGGGCAGTAGTAGTGGCTGGGCTTTCTTCTTCTGCACACAGAACACCTATTGCTTAAGGGGAATCGCGATAGCCTCTGCTATTCGGAGTATTCAGTATCTGGATACTTTTGGCAGTTTGTTTGGTACTCGATAGTTGTTGGAGAAGGATTCTTCAATGCTAGCTTTGTGGCCGGTTTGGACCAGGTGGTCTAATATTGAGTTGCTGATGGTTTTCACTACACCTTTATTTAACTACACTGGTAGATGTTCTCGAGCACGAAAAATCGTGGATCTAGTTTGGTTAGATTCCTTAGTTTTCGTTTTTTAAGTTCTTTTATCATTCCCTTCAATTTTTTTAAATTTTCAGTCATAAAAACTATTATTTGAATTTACCTCCATGCTCATCCCATTCACGCCCTTATTCGTTAAAAACTATTTTCAAATCCTGTGTAATTTTGTTTCTAAGCCCCTTGTGGTCTATATTCACACTGTTGAACTTTCATATTAGGTTGAAAATTATTATCATCTTTAATCTCCCCTTTCGTTATTATGTGGAATGAAATAATAATTGTATCTGTGTGAAATTATGTAATATAAATGCGATTATACAGCTGCTTTTTAAAGATGAAATCACTGAAAAGATACTTCTGTTTGCTAAACTTCTTATTCTTTTCTCTCTCTCATATCCTGATGTATATTTTCCTCGATTCGGAGAAGTAAACGACGTTGAAGTAAAAGGTATTCCATATTAGATAAGTTTACTTTAAGTATCACACAGTGATGATGCAGTATTTACATCTGGATGACAAGGTTTCGAGCACAAATTATTATTCGTAATCATGATACAATTTTAGTCACACGGTTTCACAGTTTGTTTTATATATTTTGTTCTCTCTGTCTATCCAACTTCCCTTTGTTGTTTGTTGTCACTTTCCATAACTCTGGTATAGGCGTTGCGCCATTTTGACTGCACGTGCGCGGTGTTGAATCGATAAACACTTTATGTACTAAAATTCCCATTAATACAGCTCTGGAGACAGTTAGTAATAAACTGAATATTGATGCTGAACTCGGAAGTAGGACTAAGCTCTCGGTTGTTCAGTTATTTCTAACCTTCCCTGCATTCATATTTCAAAATAAACTATATAAACAAGCTAATGGGGTGGCAATGGGATTACCGATGTCACCTATTGTAGCAGACATATTTATGGATAGTTGGCAGTATAAGGCTCTTAGAACGTTTAATCCTGCTCCTAGGTTATGGTGGAGATATGTGTGGATGACACATTCGCCGTGTTTAAATCTCAATATATCCCTCATTTTTTTTCAAACATATAAACTCAATAGTAGATTAAATCGAATGCACTTCTGAGTTAGAAAACGAACACGGTGAGTTGGCCATGCTACACAGTAGAATAAAACGGAAACAAGATGGTGGGTAAGATACTAGCACTAGTGGGAAGCTGACACCCTCTAATAAATACCTAGACTTTAATTCATCCCATCCAGAATAGGTAAAGACAGGTTTAGCTAAATGTTTGTATAATCGGGCCAAGACCCTAACCAGTAAGCCAGAAGATATAAGTAATGAAATCTAACAAATAAAGGAAGTATTGTGGTGAGAGCTGTCTACTAGCCAAATCGGTAGACAGTAATTTACGTCAATATTTACGTTCCCAAGATTTGTCGTGAGAAAATGTGAAAAAAGATTGATTGAAAACCGACCACAGCAGACTTTGCGTAGGCGGATACAGTTAGCAGATAGATAATCTGAACTTCAATAAACAGCCACAAAGAGATGAAAGATTAACTTTAAGTGAGAAACAACCAATCAGAAGACTGTGTTTGTCGGCTTAACTAATCTATAATAATGTACATAAATATATAAATATGCTTTGATTTCCTTAATAAACAATCTGTTGCCTGACCCTTGTCTTCTGTTGTTACAGTATTACTGGTGAATAAAGCTACCCACCAGAATTTATTCAAAAACATGTGAAAATCCATAGAAAAACTATGATTAGCTATAAAAAGGACGAAAATAACATAGAATTCAAAGCCTCTGTATTACTGGCGTATAAATAACGGGTATCAGAGACCTTACGTGGGATTCTCAATGAGGCTGGAATTAGTCAGGGTGGCACTTAAACCAACCAACTCTCTCATAGATAAACTTGATCGGCTTAAGGACCCAGTAGATCAAATTAGGAAAAATAATATAATTTACCAAATACCATACAATCAATGTCTGTGAGGTCAGTTACATAGGCCAGTCAAAGTAGTAGATCAGGGTCAACTAGATTATTGGAACATAAAAATTTAGCTAGATAGAAGATGTGAGACCTCACACCTGCTATCTTTAAATTCCAGGGCAAAATTTAGCCAGACCTAGAATAATTGACCCTGCTAAGTTAAATAACCTAGAAAAATGCTCAGCCATTGCACTGCATTCACTTGCATGTTATCACAAAATAGGATGGGTGGGACAAGGTGAGAGTATTAAAAAGTAATATTGTTAGGTGGAAAGATAGAGAGGCTAATCATTGAAGCACCACAGACGTGCAATCAAAATCACGCAACGCCTATACCGAAGATATGGAAAGTGTCAACAAACAACAAAGGGAAGTTGGAGAGACAGGATAGAGAGAAAATATATATAAGACAAACTGTGTGGCTAAATTGATATGATTATGAGTGGCAAACAAACAAACTACAGACCTTCATTAACAGTTGTCTTCGCTCAATACTACTCAAGATCAGATGGCCAGAAAAGATCAGCAACAGAGATCTCTGGCAATGAGCGAACCAACCAGGAACCGATTGTGAAACAAATAGGCAGGAAGAAATGGAGATGGACTGGCTGGCCATACTCTGAGGAAACCATCAAGTGACATCACTAGACAAGCCCTTGAGTGGAACCCGAAAGGGAAGCGGCGAGTTGGTGGTCAGTGCAAGGGTGACTTGGAGGAGGTCATGTGAAGAGGAGATGAAAGCGTGTGGGCAGAC